ACGCTCCTCTCAAACGGATATATCGGCATGAACTCCTCGCTCTTGCGCACCTCCTCGGGGACGCACGAGTTCCAGTTCTTGATCTTGACGAATATCCGCTCCCGGTCGTTGTATCGCGAGTCGCACACGTATAATGGCCAGGATGGATACCAGAAAGGCGGACGCGGACGCCCGCGAATATGCCGAGCAGTGAACTGACAGGCGATCTTCTCAATAATGTCTTCGATGGGGTGTTCTGCGAAATGACCTGTAGATGAATTTGTTAGCCGTTCAATGAAGTGAAAGTGCGCATATACGCACTAGTCTTGAAGACTTCCTTATCCCAGAACTGTCTATTTGCAGGATGGAATGTCTAGACCACGCACATCTCAGTATCTCATAGCATTGAGACTGTCATTCGATGCACATACCTGCTCAGGTCTGTAGTACCACGAAACAGTGATCCAAGGCTGCCCTTTCTTCGACCTGTCCAGGATGGTCAGCCCCTCAGTATCTCCATAAGACACGTAGTAAACACTCACGGCTCTTCTGAAAGCCAGCACTTGAACACTTGCGCAATAATCGGCCTCCCTGGATCGTCCGGATTACTCAAATGCAGCCAATCTGCTACTTTGACCGTCCACCCCTTGAACTGCACACTCTCTACGAACGTCCGCTCTCGATTCGATACACGGAAAGACGTGACCCCTGGAACACCTTCCGCGTCGATGGTGTGAAGGGGCTTAACGTTTCCTGGACCAGCGCGTAGGGAGGCGAAGTGTATTGGGGAGGTGTATGGAGGTCCGGACGGCGGAGTGGGAGATGTGAGAGCGTGGTAGAGACGCTAAGAGGAAGAAGACGGGATAACATGAGCGAACAGGTTGGTTAAATGTTGAGAGATATCTACTTGGAGGTGCAGGACATGACCATAGGCGTCGCTTGCAGGCTCGTACGACCGCCGTGCTTTCAGGAACAGGTTACTCATGTCTTTGTCAAATGCTTCACTGGACTCGTAGACTTGGTCACGGGCTTTGGTCTATAGCTTTGGTTAACTATGCGTTCTTCATGCGATGAGATATGCTTTACGAACCTCGATCATAGCCAGAGACAAGGAAAACTGCGGGGACATGTTGATAAACCAGCAAGGAAAAGAGGAATAGTGAACGTACACTGAAAGATAGGTCAGGGATCGTCGTTTCCTCTGGTAAAGCTTCAAGACTAGTCGATATGCGAGTTCCGCTGGAGTCGTCAATGAGTCAGAGCAACAAGCATGTACGAGAGGAGATCCTCACCTCGCATCCTGGAACTCTTTGATAGCAGTGACAATCCCCAATGCCCGTTCCTGCAATCCCTGTCACGTAAATTCACGTTTGACCAGAGAGAACACGCACTGTAGTAACACCGCTCGCCCACCCTACGTCTGCAAAACCCTCCCACCTCGGCAGGCCCCTCTCCAACTGCTTCACAATGGCATCGCTCTCGCCGTCTCTCGCCGTCTCGTGGCTAATGACCTCCGGCTCTGGTGTCCCACCAATATCTACGTCAATATCGGGAGAGCTGTGTCGTTCGGGAGATGATGGGGGTAGGGCTGCTAACGCAGGAGCCGGTGCTCGACTTTGAGGTTGTGGCTTGGGTTTGGATTGGGCACGTAGAGGGGTAGATGGTCCAGCAATGGGCTGAGGTTTGGATGCAGGGGCGGGTGTAGGGGCTGGTGCAGATGCGGCAGGAAGAGTGCGTGTATTCTTCGTCATTTGGGCGGACGAGGCGGGTGGTGAGGAAGGTGGGTGTGGGAGGTTCGGGCTCAGCTTCCACTGTTCGTCCAAAATCGTCTACTCCAAGCGTTTCGTCACACAAAGCTTGGGTCTCGGTAAATGAAGATGAAACGCACCCGCAGCGTAGTAGCGTCTTTTGCTATCTGACTCGACTCCTCATTGTAATACAGCGCGTTGAGAAAGACGAGCGTCAGGTCTTCGTACGCTTGAAGGGCATTCTTGTACTTGTTCTTTCCCAAAGAGTCCTTGACACCGTTGATACAGCGAGGCTGTGGGATAACCTGTAGTTTCCAGAGCCAAGCTCTCTCAGTCAGCCAATAAGTCGCGACAGAGAAGATGGCAGAAGACAGACTTCATAATATTCGGGCCAATGCTCGCGATCGACGAGCTCGAGGAACATGTCTGCGAGACGCCGTTTGCCGCGGGATGCAGTCGGCTTGAGCAATGCATCGATGACCTGCTGTATCTCATCTTTTTGCGCCGCAGTTACTGGCATAATGCTTGCTGGTTTGGTAAAGGGAAGAAAGAAAACAAGAAGTGGAATGATTGAGAAAAGAGAAGTCGCTGCAGTGAATGCTCGCTTGGACTAGCAGCCGGCGCCTCGTTATTTCCATATTCGCGACCTGTCACAGGTCACGTTTGCGTGATCCGGTAACTCTGTCACGGTTCTACAGCTACGGAACTACCAACTCTGAAGACAAACGACACGTAACGACTTTTTTCTTTCTATTCAAATGATCCAAGGTTCCGAAGAGAAAATCGTACACTGCCAGCAGCTCCTGGCACTACAGAAGATAACTCAACACTATCCAGAACCCGCACGACTACTGTAGCACTGGCTGCCAGTGCCAGTGGGTCGCAGACACCCACACATCCGACCCGCTACCGTAACAAGCCCAAATCCTAAGTTACTAGACACGTGATTACGTAATCAATGTGAACCAGCAAAATAAAACCCTCTACGCGAACGTAGAGGGTAGAAAAAAGTAGAGGTGGGCGAGTTGACGAGGCAACCCATGGTCTCCGCCGTCTGACGACCTGGCTCCATAGTGCCTCTACTAGCGGGGTGCCGACAAGTCCCGCCAGCAAAGACACCATGTTATGAACCAGATCGCCGGCATCGACGACCACCACACAGCGAGACGGCAGTGGACGAATCTCGGACGACGGTGCGGCAAGTCGCCGCCCTCAACCCGAACACCACCGCTCTCTGCGCGTCCACACCCCTCGCCACACCGCCATGGCCTACAACACCACAACAACCACCACCACCGACCGCACTACCACCGTCAACGCCATCAACCACACCACCACCGCCACCACCACACCACAGCACCGAAACGGAACAGAGACAGGGACAGAAGGGAATGGCTGTTGTTCTTGAGAAGTCGACCTGTTCCAAAAAAGAAAAGAAAGCAGCGTAACGTCGAAAACGGGTGACCAGAATCATCGAAAAAGAAAAAAGAACAGCACCAAGCCAGCCATAACGATCTCGACTAGCCGCCATCCATCGGTCTCCTGGGTCCTCGGTCCGGTCCTCGGGCTTGAAGTCTTCTGCCACACACACACACACATGTCGAACCTAGCTAGAATCAAAGGGGGGAGGGGGGCAAAAAGGTAGTCAGCGCGCAAACAGCCCGAAGGCCGCCAAAAACAAGTCCATCCGAGCCAATGTCCAACGTCCAGTGTCCAATGTCCAGTCCAAAGCAAATGTCCAAATCCAATGTCCAAACGCGAAGTCCAAAAGTCCAGTCCGAAACGAAACCCCCCTGCGGCTACCCTGGCCTCAGCAACCCGAAGCAGCCCCCGAGACAGAACACACAGGCGGCCAACCCCGCATGCCCCACCCCGAAGACCACCCGATGCGTCGTCGGCCCCCCACCCGCTAACATTAACGCAACGCCCCCGACAAGTATAAACCGGAACGAAAGAAGGAAAAGAAGACTGCGTACGGAGCGAAATCCTCAGAGTCCGTGGTAGCGGATCTCGTCGAACAACGCCGCCATGGATCGGGGGATGAGGGTCGTCTCGAGCTTGTGGGAGTCGAAGTCGAGGATAGGTTTTGGCTGGGTGTAGATTGAGGTGAGAGGTTTGCGGGAGGGTTGGATGTGACGGAGGGGGCGGTAGCGGATGTCGGAGCGCGCCTGGGCCTCTGCCAGAGAGACTACACGGCACGGAGGGAAAAGAGGAGGAAGAGGGTAAGAGGCGGTGAAAGGCATGGTGAGGTAGGACGGGAGGTGGGAGGCGGGAGGTGGGTGTGGGATGTGGGGATGCGGGCGGAATGGGGACGTTTATGGGGGTTGACCGCGAAGTTGAGCTGGCTTTTATGCCTAACGAGCTGGGGGCTGGCCTCTCCGTCCTCCGGGCTCTCCGGTGCTGAAGAGTAGTCTGAGACTTAATCCTAAAGCTGCCAAGAACCTCTCCGCTCGCCATCGGCGATCGAAACGCCTCTGAGGCTGGTAAGTTGAGCACCTCAAAGCGCGTTCTTCACGCGACGTGCTTGCTTTCGCATTTGGTTTCGAACTGAGTACACCTCTTGGCAGCATAGCCTATACAATTCACATGTCAACGACGCGTAAAAATAGAGCCAACGTTGTGCTACGTACCTTGCATCCGCGATCATACGATCGCTGGGCTGGCAAGATGGGCTGCTCAGAACGCGTTCTTCACGCGTCGTGCTTGCTCTCGCGTTAGGTTTCGAACTAGATATACTTCTTGGCGGCACAGCCTATGCAATTCACATGCCAACGACGCGTAAAAATAGAACAGATGTTGTGCTACGTACCTTGCATCCGCGATCGTAGTATCTTTGAGGCTGACAGGATCAGCAGCTCAAAGCGTGTTCTTCACGCGTCGTGCTCGCTCTCGCGTTAGGTTTCGACCTGGCAACACTTCTTGGCAGCATAGCCTACGCAATGCACATGTCAAAAACGCGTAAAAATAGAATCCGTGTCGTAGAGGTATGCGGCGACGCGTCGATCCAAGAGGAAAATTTCATTACAGACTGCCGCAGTCTGCATACCTACTCAAGGCAAAATCTGTAGGTGTCACTGTCATTTATGATATGGACAGCGAAGATAAAAAACTACGATGCACGCACCTGAGTACTGAGTTCGAGCGTAAGCAGCGGACTGGCGCGTGGATGGATCGCATGAGGACTCGAACTCAGAGACAAGACTTTTCCATGAAAGTGGGGTACTGACAAAGAGCCTGTGAAGGTGTATACTAAGTCTACTCACCCAACAAAGGTCGGATATGGTGTAATGGCTAACATTGCCGCCTCTCATAATTTGAGTGAGTGGGTCGTCTTCGCGGCAGCTCGGGGTTCGATTCCCCGTATCCGAGCTATACAGACAGTGAAAAGAGTTTTTGTTGGCGCCTCGAAATCTACCGCATTGACATGATTCAAAGCACAAACATGAACACGTACGACCATAGAGGCTTTTCGCATTTCTTATATTTGCAGGTGCCTTGCTCCTTAGCTCCGCTGGCTCTGCACACACAGCCTCGAATTGCGCGGAATGATCACAGGATCAGACACAGTCCGCAACATACAATTTTTCAACCCACCGCGCGATCGAACTCTCGCTTCCTCGGACGAAGCATGTAGAAAAATCCAACTACGTACACAAGACAAACTCGCATCCTAGATTCAGACGTGTGAAAGAACAGCATGAAACTTGGTTTTATGCGCACATGATCGAGCAACTAGCAGGAGTACATACTATAATGAAAGACAGCTAAAGTAATACGTGCGACGTTCGGAAAAGCAGATAGGTGGAAAAGCCAAGGTACAAAAGGACGAACGATAGATATCAGATCGGTGAAAGAAGGGGAAAGTGCGATGGGAATATGATATGGGTAATAACAAAGAGCGGGGAACGTAAGTTAAAGACGGGTATATAATATAGGTGTCGTGGGTGAGGTCGTGAACGTGAAGAGGGAAAGCTGTGGAAGCGTTTATGGACCAAGAAGTAGCAGGAGTTTGCGAGACGGTTGGCAGATAGTGGATAGCGAGCAAGGCGATGATGAGCAGATGCAAATACAGATTAAGACTCAAGAGGAACCGATAGGTATAGAGACAACCAGAGCCATGCGTAAGAACCAATCCTAGACAACCAACTCGATCAGTACCCCGCCACTTCAAGTCCCAAAAGCAACACTCACCAAAACCACCCAGCTAAAACACCAACAACGTCCCCCCAGCCCTACCCAACCCCCCAAGCCCATCCATACCTCCCATCATCGCCACCCCCGGCCCAGGCAACACGCCCTTCCAGCCCTCCGGATGATACGGCCGCATCGCCATCGACCGATCGAACGAGTCGCGTTCCTCCCACTGCCACGAGTCTGGCGTGGCGCCTGCCGCGCCGTAGGGCTCGACGGGCGGGAGCGGGACGGGGGTGGCTTTGGGGAGCGGGGTCAAGTCGAAGTGGCGCAGGGACTCGGGGATCCAGTTGGACGGGGACGGGGCGCGGCGACGGCGTTTGGCCCTCGGTTGTCGGGTGGTGGAAAAAGTGGAAGTGGAAGTGGAGGGCTCAGCGGAGGAGACGAGCGTGCCTCTGCTGGTGGTACTCGCTTCCGCGGCGGGTGGCGCATCTGAGGGGGCGGGATCGGACGTCGTCACGTCCGCCAAGCGACGTTTACGCGACGACCGCCCCGACGTCGCCGTCGACGTGGCTCCACACGACAGCGTGCTAGTGCTAGTGGTGGCGTCCGTCAATTCCGCAGAGACGTCGCTCAGCCCAGACGGCGAGGTGACCGTCAGCGTGGGCGAGCGGGTTCTAGCCTCGATGGCGCTCGGACCGTCGGTAGAGGTGGAGCAGGCAGGCGAGGACCTGTCTGAGGACGGCGGGGAGTCTGCGCTGATACTCGAGCCAGCCCCACGCTGCTGCTTCTGCGAGCAGCGTTTCACGTGTCGACTCAGATTGGACGCGACGCTGAAGCGGCGATCACAGAGTTTGCATTGGAAAGCTGCAGAAACGCAAAGAAAGAAAAAGGGACAACGTGTCAGGGTACGGTGTTTGTACGGGAGCGATGGGCTATCACGGACCTCTCTCTCCGGTATGGACGAGCATATGCTGTAGGCCCAAGGAACAGAAGAAGCACCCCATTGAGATCAGCATGAGAACGATGACGCGCGCGTGAACGGAGGGGACTGACCTTCTTGAGTGTGCTAGGCCTGAGATCGACGCGAACGACCCGCACGAGGTGAGACGGGCGTCGAGATAAAGATCGAGAAGTACACACACCTGTCGAAACTTTTGTGGCACATCCAGCACTTGTGCTTCTTGTCTCCGGGTCCCGTGGTTTGTCCGTCGAATGTGGGAGGTATTTCCGGGGGTGGGTACGAGCCCATCGCGGCGGGTGGAGGGTAGCTGCCCTCGAGTTTCACTGGCTCGACGAGGAAACGGTCGTTGGCAGGTCCTCGGGCACTAGGGCCGGGCGCTACATGCTCGGGAGCGGTGATCGCTGAGCGCGTTCGACGCGAGGAGGACGAGTAAGTGGGGAGGATGGTCATGCCGCCGCCGGGTGGAACTGTCTTGAAAAAAGCTGCTTGGCTGGAAGTTGGTTGGTGGAGAGTGGATGGGAGACCCGACCATTGGTTTTTAAGTGGATGGGGAATGAAATTGAAGGACGGTGCGGGGTGAGGCGGTGCGCGATGGGCGAGCAGTGGCTGGCTGGGAGAGGGATAGGGATAGCCAGAGTGGGAGTCGGTAGTGAAGCCGGTGGCGTCGCTTGAGGAGAGTGCGGTGGCCTCATGACCGGGATAGGAGGACGATCCGAGCAAGAAGTTTGGGTGCGGGTGGTCGAACGCGCCTGGTAGCGCGTCGCTGGGGAAGAAGTGGGAGGGCAGAGGGAGCGACGCGGTGTAGGGATCCATCGCAGGCAGAGGTGTCGATCGGGTGCTGCGAGCAGGTGCTCTAGCAGGCAGAATTTGATGGGACGCCGATATATATGTATGCAGCAGGGTGTGGGACTCGGACTCGGACACGTTCCTGAGATGAGACAGATAGCTATGTGGAGGAAGTAGTAGCGGGTGGGATGGGGAGACGCGTCCGGCGGTACCCTGTGAGCAGCCTGTGGGCCAGAGTCAGTTGGGTGATTTTTATAGCAGCTGCACGCGAGAAGACGAAGGAAGGCCCGCGAAGACTGAAAGGAAAGAACGTAAAGGCGCACCAGGTGGACATCTTCCCAGTGGGAGAGCGGGATAGATGAAGAGGTTAATTGACGAAGACTGAGAGCATCGACTCGTGGGCCATGGTTGCGACGGAGCGGGCGATGTGGCGACGAGCGACTGATCTCAGCCTGCTGCCCTCTTTCGGCCGTCTTCCTCTCCGCCACAATCAGCCCACAAACGCCTGCTGCCCCCGTACTCCTGGTCGTGACATGTCTCTCTTGGGTGTCTCTCGCCTGCTCCCCGGGCGAACTGTATTTCTTGAGGAAGACGACGATCCTTGCGCGCTCGGGCGGGCAGTGCTGGCAACGCGTCCCCCACGCGCTGACGGACGCCAGAAGGAGACGGGTGGTGTGACTGGATGGGCAGGTGGACCGTGGACGGAGGGCGAGAGTCTGAGAGAATGAACGACACGCTACCAGTCGCCGCGTGTCTCTCGTAGCTCCCATCACGTTATCACCCATCCGTCATCATCTCCGCAAAACATTCGTCCATCCATCTCATTCCGGCTACCTATCGACACTCTCGCCAAGCACCACCCACCACAATAGAGCTTTCAACATTAGCCTCACAGCAGACGTTAACCGCTTTACCGTCTTCCACCTGTCGCCCTGATGTCCGGCCATCTCGCAAATTTTTTTCGCCTCCCTTCTCTCGCAGCTGCTGTCTGTCACCAACCTGCCCTCCTCGCTCAGAAGTTCTGGTTCTAGTTCTTGCCTACTCTACGACTGGACTGGCAATGGCAATAGCCATGCCCCTCGGTCCTCGGTCAAATGGCGTTGACGGGTGGAGGACCGAATATGCAATATCCAATGGGGCGGCATCTAAGTCCGCAACAACTCGTTCGCGTTCGCGTTCTTTCTGAATTCTTTCATTATTCTCCTATACCGGTCGCACACGGACGGTAGGGCTCAGGTGTGACAGCGGATGGGTTAAGGAGGATGCGATCGTGCGCCGTCGGGGGCGTGAGGCTCGGGTGCGCGAACATGGCTCATGGTGCTCGGACTCGTGGGCCCTTCCTCGCTGCGCTAGCTGCTGCGTGACCCTCTCTTCCGCATTCCGCAGAGCATGCATATGACGTGATGATAGGCTCTCGGTGTTGTCAGCTCCGGCGGGCTGGCAGCCTCGTACAGGTGCAATTTCAAAGGATCGTCGGGCACGCTGTCGCGTCTGCGATATGGTCTGTCGTGCTGCCATTCTTTACTGTCGCTGGCATGGAGCATGGACAGACCTCTGTTCTGGGCTCTCGCAGCACAAACTCTGTACGGGTACGTGGCACAGGGAGGGGGTGTTGACATGTCAACAAGAAGCTTCGTCTGCCTCAGGCTCTCCCGCGACGCAGCAGCTCACGAGCAACAACGCGTCCTTCCCAGAGATCCTCGCCCCAAACCCAATCTCTCCTTACTGGCCTGCTTCTTTCTTCTCCCTCACCAGTCCCCGGTCCCCCTTCTCCCGACTCCGGCCTCTTTCCGCTCTCTCCCTCGCTGCAAGGCATGCACCCTGCCCATTCAGGCTATACGCACCCTCCGCGGGCGTACAGTACAGTAGACTATCCTCGCATACACTCCTTCCTCGCAATCTCACGCCAACTGCGATCTCGCTTCGAGGAGATGGAAGCCTGAGACAGAAGAGATCGCCGCCACACACTCCACGGCTCAGATGAGATCCCTGGTTGTGTGCCGTCGGTATCACCATATGCATACGAGTCTATTGTGTTCTCATCGTTTATTGTCCTTCCTGTCGTTTTTGAATTTTGAGTACTGTAGGGGCTTCCGAGTTGCTTTGACGTTGGACTTCTTGCGATTGATCAATTTGATGAATCTGATGATGGGGGTGCGTCATCACAATGTTCTCTGCTGCTCGCCCCGTCATGTATCATAATGTGCATAACATACTGGTTCTTTGGGGCTCTGTCTTGATCATTGCCGTTCTCAGCGACGCAAAGAATTGTAGAGCAAATGCGGGTCGAGAGAGCAAGCGTGTACAGTTTGGGACATCCGTCTGTGTTGGTCAATCGAACTTTGAATCTGATGCAAAAAGTGGGAACGTTCCGGGTTACCTCGGATACGGGGAATCGAACCCCGAGCTGCCGCGAACATACCAACGCATATGAGAGGCGGCAATGTTAGCCATTACACCATATCCGACGTTCAAGAGGGCAGACTCAGTGTAATATTAGCCGACAAGAGCTCAAGTAACTCAGGAAGTACTAGATCGATATCCTGCGCAAGGCTCGACAGGTCAGTCCGGAGTATAAGCCCGAACTCGATTGTGCACAGAGAGGAGAGAGGTGGTATACATGTGAATGTAAAGTGTACAGATAACAAGAAGTAGTGTGGTATATGCGGTACAGATATGACTTGCGAGATACAGAAATCCGTGTGTGTTTCTCCCGTCTATAGATCCGAAGAAACGAAAAGAAAAATCAACGTGACCTTAGATCCCCAGCCAAGATCCCAGGGATACGAGAGTCCGAACCAGAGAGAAACCAAACCCAAGATAATGAAGAGAGGATCAGGAATACATGAAGCTCGACGCGCTCGACGCGCTCAGAACTGTTTCTTGACCTCCTTGTAACTATTCTGGATGATCTTGCCCGACGCTACGAGGAGACAATCAGAAGTCAGAGCAATTTCGAGGGTGAATGGGCGGGGAAGCTCGTACTTTGTGCCATACCAACCACCTTGGCCTTCGTGTTCGGGTCCGTAACGACGTCTTTGACGATCTTCCCGCTCGCTAGTACATAGACGGTAACAACCAAACACATCAGACAAATCATACGCGAAACGAAAACGAAAGGAAAGGAACACTCACAATGCACAGCCCCAACCAACTTCTTCCCCGTATCCGGCGCAGGCGGGGGCAGCCCGACGAACCCCATCGCGAACTCGAGGTACTTCTGCGTCGTCTGCCCTTTCTTGCTGTCCTTCCGCTGGTGTTTCTGGTCTTTGAGCTGTTGTTGTTGCAGCGCGTACATCATTTGCATTTGCGACTGTTGCGGTTGTTGCGGTTGTTGGAACTGACCGGGTTGACCGCCTTGAGACGTCATTTGGAATTGACCAGACATCTGGGATTGTTGTTGGTGCTGTAAGGCGAGCTGTTGTTGCTGGACTAGAAGGTATTGCTGTTGCTGATGAGGGTCCATCGTGTGGTACTGGGAAGGCTGCTGGACCATCGGATATTGTTGCTGGCCCGTCTGGAATTGAGGTTGACCGGTCGTCTGAAACTGCGGCTGTTGGCTCGGCGGCTGAAACTGCTGCTGCTGTCCCGCCGTCTGGAACTGAGGATGTTGACCTGACGGCTGGAATTGTTGTTGCTGACTCGTATGTTGGAACTGTTGCTGCTGACCGGTCATTTGGTATTGCTGCTGGCCCGACGCCACCTGGAACTGACCCGCCATCTGAAGCTGCTGCTGAGGTTGCTGGGCCATCGTCTGAAGTTGCTGCTGAGACTGTTGGCCCGTCATCTGGAACTGCTGCTGTTGAAGTTGTTGCTGGCCCACCGCGTACATCTGCTGCTGAGGCACCTGCGGAAGCTGCTTCTCGTCCTGCTTCTCGTCGCCGCTTCCAAAATTGAGTGTGACATCACCGATCTCGATACTCGTATCGACGCCGAACGCGTTCAACGCCGAGATGATGTTCCCCGCGGTCTCGTACGCATTCGACTTCGAGTCTGACTTCGAGTGCTTGTGGTGGTGAGTTGTGTTGGCGTTGAACTGGGTCTGCAGCGGCTGCTGTTGTCCGACCGCACCAGTCGTTTGGTGCGTTAGAATACGCTGGTCCTGGTTGAACTGCATATGTCCCGTCTGATTCATCTGTACGTGCGCCATCTGGTTCGCCTGCACCTGGACCATCTGGTTCGTTTGCATCCCCGTCATCTGGTTCATCTGCAGCTGACCCATACTCGAGCTGGGATTCATCCCAGGATAGGTACTCGTCGGGTTCGAGGCGGCCATATTCATGCTGTACATAGCTCCCATGGACGTAGGTGCGCCAGGAACACCAGGACCCCCAGCAGGACTGCTCCCCAAGCTTCCTACAGGACTCGTCGTGAAGCTCCCATGAGGACTGAGAGTACCCGTCGGACTCGCCACGAACGTCGCCTGTGGGCTCCCAAGAGGGCTTCCTACGAAGCTCGTCGCCGACGGGCCTCCTCCGGTGAAGTTCGGCGAAACGGCTCCTGGTACGGACCCGACGAAGCTGCCCATCGGAGTGCCATGTCCAAGCGTTACAGTAGTGCTGACGCTCCCGCTGGAGTAGTGGCCAGCGAGCGGAGGACGATTGGGCTGTTGTCCTGCCAGTGGGAGAGCCGGGAGAGAAGCGGCGTGAGCGTGGTGGAGCGGTGCGCCCGAGGCCGGATTCTGCGCGCCGGCGCCGTTGCTCGTAACGTTGCTGATCGTCGCGGTGACGTTGGGGTTGGCGTTGTTGGGCTTCCCCGACGCGCTGGCTTGGCCGTGACCCTGGGGACCTGCAACAGAAAAACGAGATGATGCAGTAAGATATTTTTGTTCGCGTAGTTCGTTATTCTTAGATTCGGAGATGGATAAGAGAAGGCGAGTGAGATGGGCGGGTGTGTATGGTATGTCCATGGCATTTGGAAATGGATACAGGTGAGAATCTACGGAAGTGAAACGTTTCTGGTGCTACAAGACGCGATCGCAGTAAAGAAAGCAGGTCAAGAGAGAAAATATGAGTAATATGTATCCGTAGGACGGAGGGTGCGAGCGCAGCGTTATTTATTGAGCTGGGCGCCAAATCTTGGGCATAATCTGCAGATGGCTGCAAGTTTCGGTCGCATTTTGACGCCGACGACACTGTCTCTACGATGAGAAGTCCCCGCTGTTACATCTGGTCAATGAGGTATATTGGCATAGTATCTACGAGCAAAGTCTTCAAGTCGTTCCTCCAGTCCTTTCCCTCCCAGCTTCTGCACACGAGAAAAGTCAACCCTTTCCACCAAAGCAAGGTCCTCCAATTTTCGTACGCGAGATAGAGCCACAAAGGTGAGCCCGTTGCAAAATTCTTTCTTGCCTAGCCCAACGTTTATTCGCTCCAGAGTCAAACCTTGGGATTTATGCACAGTGACGGCCCATGCTAAGCGAAGGGGGAGCTGTGTACGAGAGGCTGGGGTGCCTCCAACGTCAAACGTTGACTTCATGGCGGTGATTGGGACTAACGGCACGCCATGGGGGTGGTTTGGGCGTGGCTCTGTGCGCCACAATGTTGGACCTTGGTAGGAGGGTACTGAGACGAGGACAGCAAGGGGCAAATCAGATCGATTCGAGCCTTCACCCCAGACGACGTCCTCAACCACTCCAACCGCACCATTGACAAGTCCTGTAGGCACAAGGTTCTTTAAGAAGTACGAACAGCAATTGATGTAATTCACGTACCTTTGTGCTGCCAAATGTTCCTCGTGATCATCACCCGTGCTCCTTTAGCAAGAATAACGTGAGTCTCCAGCCCTCCCGCGTCATCAGCCGATGCTTTTTTGGCCGCGGAACCGCCGTCGTGTCGTGCTTCAATCCGTGCGCAAGGGTTGTTGAGATCAATGAGGCGCTGCAGGTTGAGATCATGGACGGCTTCGCATGTGGTGAAAAGGGTGGTTGCATCCGCAAATCGGGTGCGCTGATGCTGTGGAAGGACGTCGCTGGATCGAGTACACAGCAGTTCCCAGTCAGGCTGTGCGAGACCGCCATGTGATGCGTGCTTCAGGAGCGCCTTGAATGCTTGCTGCTCGGGTGAGTCGCCTTGCTGACGGTGGAGAATCTTCAGCTGAAAGCTTGAAGTAAATTGTCGGTAGATATGGCTTCCGTCGCGACTCATTTGTCCGAGTTCAGTGTCCAGAGTAGACGGAGTCGCGTACAAAGGTCTGTCACCTACCGGAGGTAGCTGGGCAAAATCACCGATGAGAGCAACATGATACCCACCAAGTAAACTGTCCCTTGGAAGGAGTTGACGAAGACGTCCGTCGATTTTACTGAGCATACGTTGTCCAAGCATTGACTTCTCGTCAATTACGACGAAAAAGACGTCCTTCCAAGTCTGCTGAATCGTTGCGAGTCGTGTTCCGGCCAAAGGGGTGCATGGTCCATTAGATGCAGGTAAAGCAAGTGCGGAGTGAACGGTCAGGCCGTGGATGTTGTGAGCAGCAACGCCAGAAGGAGCAAGAACACGAACAGGGTCAGCGCGTCCGTGTTCACTGGCCATTTGATGCAGCTTTTGACAGATCGCCCTAATCAGGTATGTCTTCCCACACCCCGCGCTTCCGTCGATGTTGAGCAAAGTCTGAGGGCAGTTATCCCCACGCAAGATAGCACCGTACGTCTCGACAAAGCGGTCAAAGATGGCACGCTGTTCACCCTCAAGAGTGGCGAAGTCAATAGGGTCTCCGTAGTCACGGTTCTGTAAGTCTTCTGCTGCCATTTCACGTTTTCGCTCATCCAGATAGGACGCCAGCTTGTCGCAATCGTTCCATCGCAGTCGAGCTTCATCAATATCCCATCCGTCATCCAGAGGTCGCTTTCCAAGATCTCCAACACCAAAGGAAGGTAGCTGAGCATGCGGATAGAGTCCTGCATAGACCTGCCAGTCTGCTTCGGTGAGCTCTGCCAGGTCTGGATTCAACAGTTCTTCGTCTTCGTCGTCTTCGTCGTCTGAACGCTTTTGTTCCATATCCCAGTCTCGCAAGGTATCCCGTGGGTGATTATGGTCGTGGCTGGATTTGCAAGCACGGAAAAGGTCAGCCCACGCAACCTCTTCTCCGTTCACAGTCTGAACCAAGTCTAATGTGCGGAATGGATGATGTAGGAGGATTTTCACGCGGCAGTAGTCTTCGTATCGGTCGCCATCAGGATCTGGTGAAAATCGCGGAAAGACACGAACAACGACATTTTGTTGTCGCCGTTTCCTCCAGGAGTTTTTATGCCAGGTATACCCTTGAAAAACCTCGTTCATCGACAGATTCTCCATGTCTACTGCTCGTCGGGTGTATCTGTGTAATGGTCAGTCATTGCCCAGCTAGCAAGTGAGGTATCTTACTCACCGTTGTATCCAGGAGTCGCTAGTGACTGTTCCTTCTGACACGCCTTCATCATCACCTCCTCCGGCCCCAAGCCTACGCAAGGTCCCGTTCTGAGACAGGTTCA